AATAAAATGTAATAAACAACAAAAACAATAATAGTAATAATATATAAGGTGACCTAAAAAAAAAAAAGGAGAGAAACAAACTCCAGAGCATTATACAATACTGTATGATGTAGGACTGTTTGACTCCAATGAGGAGAAACCCAAGGAAAACATCCATTTATTTCTTTATTTTATTTTTTGAGACGTGGTCTCATTATGTATTTCAGGATGGCCTCAAACTTGCAGCAATCCTCCTGCCTCAGCCTCCCAAGTACGGGGATTACCAGCCTGTGCCACCACGCCTAGTGGAAAACATTTATTATAGTTCAAAATCCAGAGGGAGGGCAAGGTTCAGAGTTGGTTGGTACAAAGATTGGGTACCCTGAGGGACTCAGCCTTTCTCTGATTCCTTAGGGCAACACCACTGTTGACTTTACCTGAGGCTGATTCGCAGCAGCACTGGGTCCTTTGCTTCTCTGGGGGAGCAGTAACTTTACTTTCCAGAAGCCTTGAGTTATCCAAAGTTTTAAGACAAAAACCTCAAGCTTCTGCTATAAATTTTGACTTTCTATTCAGGCAAAACTTGGACTGTTTTGCCGGGGATTTAGCTCAGTGGTTCCGGTGCCTGCCTTGAAAATGCAAGGTCCTGAGTTCGATCCCCAGCACCAAAAAAAACCAAACCAAAACAAAACTTGGATTGTTTTGAAAAATATGCTAATTAGATTGAATAAAGCTGTAACCATTGTTGCTTATTTTTATTTCTGAGTACATTATTTCTGAATTAACGTGGTATGGGAAAAGGACGTGAGGTCATTGGTAAATAAGCACATTAGAGAACTTCAAACCTGGAAGACATGGAGGAAGGCCTGGGACGTAGGGGCAAGTCGCATGCCAAGCAGGAAGCCCAACTGGATATGATTGGAGACTACAGCAAAATCACATTTCCCCCATAGAGAGGATTAAGCCCTCAACAATCTCCTTTTTCTTCCCAGAGGATTAAAAAGAAACCAAAACTTTAAAATAAAAAGGCTTTATCGAGGTATAATTCACATATAGCTCACTTAAAGTGTGTGATTCGCTGGCATTCAGTATATCACAGAGCCATACAACTGTCATCACGGTCATCTATCTGTACACCATACTTGGTAGCCCTTAGAAACTGCATCCAGGTGCCTGGGGCCCCTGCTGCTTGGGAGGCTGAAACAGGAGGATTGGAGTTTGAGGTCAGACTGGGCAACTTAGCAAGGCCTTGTCTCAAAAACAAGATAAAAAGGGCTCAGGTGGGGCTCAGCAGCGGCTAGATTCAGTCACCAGTATAAAACAAAATCAAAAATCAAAAACCTAAGCCTAAAAAGCCCTATGGCACTTAGTAGTCTCTGCTGGTTGCCTCTTAACCCCTGGTCAGGGCAAGCACGGCTACTTCCTGTCCCTGTGGACTTACTGTTCTGGACCCTTCCTTTACCGAGATCATGCCACGGAGGCCTTTGTGACAGCCTGCTTTCACTTGGTGTGACACTGGCTGGGTCCTCCTGTGTGTGGATATGCCAGTACCCCCTTTCTTCAGAGTGCAGAAAAATGTTCTGTTGTGTGAATAGAACCCATTTCATCCATCTGGGCTGTTTTCACTTTTTGACTACTTTGGATAATGATAGTGTCAACATTCAAGTTTATATTACAAGTTTCTGGGCTCAGGGTATGGGTCAGTGGTAGGGTACTTTTGACTGGGTTCCACGCCCGCACTACAAAAAGTATGTTTCCAGATTTTGTTTTTAATCTCATTAGGTAAAGTGCTACGTTTAGGACATGGCAAAGGAAAAGGTTAGGTTCCTGTTACGTTATCTCATAACACCTCGTAATTTGGGTGGCACTTTCCACAGCTGTCATCTAGAGCCTTGCTTGAATGGCTTTAGTATCCCTTTTCCAATAAATGGCAGAGACTTGGCCGCCTTCAGATCCCAGCCCCTGAGACAAGATCCAGCACAGGTGACAGACTCACTGTTTGTCTAACGAGTGAATATCTGCTTTTTTGGTGTGGGAAATTTTGGGGGGGGGGGTACCAGGGATCAAACTCAGGACCTTGTGCTTGCCAGGCGGGCGCAGCACCACTGAGCTACATCCCTGGCCTAATATCTGCTTTTTTGTACAGGTGAAGAAAAAGATCATTTCGTTTTTAGCCTAGCAACTCCAATCACCATCTGTGTGCTGTCAGCTTATCTTCTTCTTTACGCTTTTATTTTGTTGATTTCTTTTTTTTTTTTTTTGGTACTGGGGATCGAACTCGGGTCCTTGTGCTTGTGAGGCAGGCAGCGGAACCACTGAGCTAAATCCCCGGCCCTATTTTGTTGATTTCTATCTCGTGCTTGCTTCTAACTTTTGTGTTCTGTCAGTATTCATTATCAATGTCCTGCATCTGGGAGGCTTATTTAAATAAAACAGTTTGCCTGAGCAGTTAATATTAAGTTAGTGTAATTTTATGTTCATTTAATTTTAACTGTGTCTCTTTGTGTTATAGGAAACAATTAATACTGTTATTTAAATATGTGTCTTTATAAACAGCAGACTAGAGTTAAAGGATTTCCTAGTCTCTTAATCTCATGAATAATTTTTAAGGGCTATATTTATTTGTTTAGGATATTGTGAGAGAAAACATTTGAGAAGTACTTTTTTTTTTTTTGAGAAGTACTTTTAACCCATAAAGTGTTTCTAAAAATGTAACCACTGTGTAGGGTTGTAGTTGGGTGGTAGAGCACTTTCCTGGCATGTGTGAGGTCCTGGGTTCCATCCCCAGCACTAAAAGTGTCCTCCTAGCAATGGTCACTCTAATGAAGTCTTTCTGCAGGGCCTGGTGGCATATCTGTAATCCCAGCACTCTTGGGAGGCTGAGGCAGGAGGATTGCAAGTAGTGTTTGGAAAGAAGAGGGCAAGCTCGTCCAGATGAGGTGGGGCCATGGAGGCTGAGACACCAGGAAAGAATTTCCTCCACTTGCCTGGGAGCAGATGGCACGGGGCCAAAGCTAAGTGTTATCCGTAGACGCTGGGATGCAGGGAAGATGGAAGACCCAGTGAAAAGAAGGTGGAGAGAGGCCCGAACCAAAGTAACTTTAACACTCTGACTCTCTGTGATTGACAGAGGTGAATGTGAGCAGCATGAGCTGGACTCCTGTGTGAGCACTTCACTTCAGGGCGGCACCATCTGAGTAGAAACCAGTGACTGGGTACTGGGAGCTGTGGTTTAGTCTTTGGAGGGAAGTCAAGGCTAAACATAGATTTCGTTGGTGGGTTGGAAGTATAAGAATAGAAGAAGTATTCAAAAGAAAAGCACTCAAGGATTGAGAACAAAACTGGAAACATTTTCAGTATCAGGGAAAGATTTTATAAATTTTCTTTTTAGTTATTTATAGTTTTGGCTTTTGAAAACACTTTTTTTCCCCCCTGGTACCAGGGATCGAACTCAGGACCCTGCGCTTGCCAGACAGGCATGGCGCCACTGAGCTACATCCCTAGCCCTGCAAACACTTTCACTGTGGTGATTAAAGAAAGCATAATTAAGAAATGTGCTTATTTTATATATCTTCCAACTGTGTATTTACTAAGTGCGTGTATTTTTGTCTTTTTAGAGCTGTATTATAAAGCGCTACTGTGAGAAAAGATTTGTGTCTAAATACCTTGCCACGATTGGAATTGACTACGGAGTCACAAAGTGAGTATATTGGCTCCCTGGGCTTGTAAATTGTACAGAAGTTCATAACTCCTAAAGTGATCTGTATTTGCATCTGTGCACTTGTTCAGGTTATCTTGAAATGGAAACTTTAAAGATAAGTTGAGAAAGACAGGGCTGGGGGGCTTCACAGACCGGGCCCCTCCCTCACCCCTCTGGGGCTGAGCTCCCTTCTGCAGGCTGTGTCTGGTGGACCCATACTGAGGAGCAATCAGTGCACAGCTCAACTGGCAGAGGCAGCTCTTCCGGAAACATGTTCTGTATGAGCAGGTGTGTTTTTACAGTGTTTTGAAAGAGTCTAGCAAGTCTAAAAATTATATGGAAGTTTTTCTGTTGGAGAACTTCTCTTACTGGTTTATGATCTTTATAGCCTGTTGGACTCCAGCAAAAGTCATCTGGGCAAAGCAAAGTTTGGGTACAAGTGGGGATTTGGAGGTAAATGAAGAGGAGGCTGAGCTTGGGGAGGGAGGATTAAACTAATCCTGTCACCAACTGCCAAAGGTGGAATTGGGCAGACCGCACGCCTCCTGAACTCGGAACTGCAGGCACTCACCATTGTGGCCCCACTCCCCCGTCTTGTTACGACCCCCGTGCACTGACCACGGCCTCCACGCTCTCCTGCCTCAGTGCCACTCACTCTGTCCCCTCTTCTCCCCCCTGCCAGCTTCTTCAGAGTGGAAAATGCTCCTGTTCCCTTAAGATGTCCTGGACACCCCCTCTATCGGTCAAGATCTTTTTGCAAATGAAATAAATCTTAAAATTCTCTATATTATTTATATTCTCTATTATTTATGGTACTTGCCATAAATTGCTTTATTATTATATGCATATGTTTAATGGCTCCTGCTAAATAGTAAGTGCCCTGAAAAAGAGGCTGTTAGTATAAGTTTTCTGCAAGTGTCTAGTAGGTGCTCAAAAATATTCATTGCTAGGTGAGATAGAGACCTCTGATGAGGAAATTTGCCAGGTTAGAATAGGAAGGTAAAAGCCAGGCATGGTGGCGCCTGCCTGTGATCCCAGCATTCAGGAGGCTGAGGCAGGAGGCTCACCATGACTTCGGGGCCACCCTTGGCTACATAGTAAGTTCAAGACCCACCTGGATTACCTAGCAGACCCTGTCTCAAACAAACAGAAACAAAAACAAACAGAATAAGAAGGTCAGGTCTTTCAGAAGGCAGGAAGAAGTGATGGGCTGTATCTACAGCAGAGTTCAGTTGTGTGATGAGCAGAGTGAGGCTCAGCTGTGCCCTCCATATGGTTAAAGCCCCTCAGGTAAGTGCTAAAGGAAAACTCAAGGAGAGTTTTTATGTCACCATCTTCAACTGGTAGCCGCGGGGGGATTCTGCAAATTTTCCTTAAAGAATGAAAATTATGGCCTTGACTATGAATTGTACGGAGCTCTTCATTGGAAATGCACATTTCTTTCTAGTTCTAGTTTTTCTTTTCCCTACTTCAGAGCACAAGATTTCATCAGTGAAATGGTAAGAGATCCTTTAAAGCAGCTTTGTTTTAAGTCAATATAAGTAGTTTATTTATCTTAGAAAATGAAAATTACCACAGTATGTCATAGGACTATATAGTTTATTCAACAGATTATCCTGTTTCTCACTAAATTTTTCTTTTTTAAAGATGCTTGTCTCATAATGAGTCAGGAGGATATAACTGAGAAGAACACAACATAAACCAACTTAAGCAAAAAGAGTTAAAATTTGAAAAGGACATTAATCGATTCACATAATCCAGTACTGATGACACAGGCCTCAGACACGGCTATTCTGTAGGGATAGAGCTGGCCAATCAGAGCCAGAACAATAGGTCACTTTACTGCAGCTCGGTCTGCTGGCTTCATTTGTTAAGTGGGCTTCCTCTACGCAGATCCCAGCAGCTCTCAGGCTCAATTCTAAACCTTACTTCTAGAAGGGGACTAAAATTAAAACCCCAGGTTTACAAATCCCCAGGAGGAGGGCTCAGTGTGTAGCTCAGAGGTAAAGCGCTTGCCTAGTAAGCACAAGGCCCTGAGTTCAGTCCCCAGCACCATAAAGTACAAAAGACAGACACAAACCCAAGGAGTGGTTTGTTTGTTTGGTTTTTTTGGTACCAGGGATCGAACTCCGGTCCTTGCACTTGCGCAGCAGGCGTTGAAACCACTGAGCTAAATCCCTGGCCCCCCAGGGAGTGTTTTGATAGGCCCAAGTGGAGACAGTTGGTCCTCCCCCAGCACAGGTAGCTGGGACCAGCAGAGTGGAATCAATAAGAAGGTGGCAGACTCTCACATTCACCAGAGCTGGGAGAAGAAAACAGGGTACACGGGGAAACAACCAACAGAGTGAAGAGCCAGCCTTCAGAGTGGGAAAAATGCTGCTGGCTATTCTTTGAACAGAGGACTAACACCTAGAATATGTAAAGAACTCAAAAAATTAGACCCCTAAAATAAAAGACCCAATCAAAAAATGGGCATCCAAAATGGATAGAAGTACATATTGCCAATAAATACATGAAAAAATGTTCAGGGTCAAGGATTTAGCTCAGTAGTTGCACCGCCTGCCTTGCAAGTGCAAGGTCCCAAGTTCAATCCCTGGTATCAAAAACAAAATGAAACAAAACAAAATCTTCAACATCACTGGCCATTAGAGAAGTGCAGATTAAATCAACACTGAGATACCATCCTACTCCAGAAAGAATGGCCATCATCAAGAAATCAAATAATAGCAATCAAATAAATAATAACAATCAAATAATAACAAGATGGTAAGACTACGGGAGGGGGAATAAATCTTTCTACATTGTTGGGATTGTAAACTAATAAAACCACTATGGAAATCAATATGGAAATTCCTCAAAAAATTAAAACTAGAAATTCCTTTTGACCAAGCTATTCTCTTTCTAGGGATCTTCCCAAAAGAGTTAGAGACGTCATATTACATGTGCACACCCATGTTTATAGCAGCACAACTCATAATAGCTAAATTTTGGAAGTGGCATATATCCCCATCAACAGATGAATGGATAAAGAAAATGTGGTATTTATACACAATGAAATATTACTCTGCCACAAAGATACGCTTGAGACATTCGTAGGGGAATGGATGCAACTTGAGATCATAATGATGAGTGAAATAAATCAGACGTTTAAATAGTGCATGGTTTCTCTTATATGAGAAATGCAAACTTGTTTTATATATATATATATATATATAGAGAGAGAGAGAGAGAGAGAGAGAAACAGAGAGTGAGTGCACAAAATAGAAGATAAAGAGAAAGTGGAGAGCCGGGGATTTAGTTCAGTGGTTTCTGCCGCCTGCTGCGCAAGTGCGAGGACCTGAGTTCGATCCCCGGTACCAAAAAAAAAAAAAAGTAGTAGATCAAGAGAAAGTGGAGAGATCTTTTTCAAATGGATGGGGAAACAAGAGGTGGAGATGGAGAAGAGGAGAGGAGGATGGAAAAAATGATGAAAATAGAGCTCTTGTGATTGGAAAGGGAACAGACATTTGGAAGGAGCAGGGAAGGAGGGGAGGGGATGAAAAAGAATTAGGGTACGCTGCATGCGGGTACCAACGCCCTGTGAAAATTGGAATCGCTATGTGCTACAACATGTAGCAGTATAGGAAGCAGGGTAGTTTTGGACAGGCAAAACCTTAGATCTGTTTTCAACAGGGCACTCCAATCTCAGCGTGCTTAAGGATACTTGTGGGCTGGGATGTAACTGGGGGTCGGGGTGGGTAGAGCACTTGCCTTGAATGTGAGGCCTGAGGCCTGGGCTCCATGGGGGGAAGAATTGCTTGTGTCCTCTGTAAAAGGACAGATTCCCGGGGCTCACCCACTGAGACCCTGGTTCACCAAGTCTGAGTGGGGTGAGCAGTCTGTCATAATCAGGATTCGGGGGTCCAGAACCACACTTAGGCACAGCCTGGCTGGAGGGAAGGAATCGCTATTTTTCCTGATTTCTTCCTCCTGGCTTCTGAGTTAAATTGACTCCTTTCAGGTTTCAGTGTGTGAAGACATTTGTGTTATTCCCCGACTTTACACGCATTATAATTCCATCCCTTATTCAGCTGCTATCTTTTTAAGGTAAAAATTTAAAAATGTAAACAGGGCCAGGGATTTAGCATACTTGCTGTGCAAGTGCAAGAACCAGAGTGTGATCCTCGGTATCCAAAAAAAAAAAGGAAACAGTTATCCCAGATCTTTGCCAGCTGCTCTCAAGTTCTGTTATTGTTGTGCACTTACCACTGACCTGCCTCCCCAGACCTATTATTATTTGGAAAACAACTGGAGGAATTGTGGTTTCAGAACAGAAAGTGAACACTGTAAACTTGGACAAAGGAATAATCATTAGCCAACCAGGAAGTAGTGCAGGGACCACGAGAGCAATCGCTGGAGTCTTCATATTCCATAGCCACTCAGTTCAGTGCTGTCTGAGCCCGAGACATCGTGCTTAAAGACATAAAGACTCTAATTTATGTTTACTCTTAATAATTTCTATTTTTAACCTTATAGGGACTTTTTTTTTTGAGACAAGCTCTCACTTTGTAGTTCAGGCTGGCCTTAAATTCACTATGTAGCCCAGGCTGGAGATCCTGCTGCCTCAGCCTCCTTGGGATTATAGGTATAATATCCCTTCTGCTGGGATTATAGGTATATACCACCATGCCCAGCCATGGATCTTTTAAGAAATAATATTTCTTGTGTGGAGGAAACATTTGTATTTAAAGTTTAGTAATTCTTCCCCATTCACTTCAGTTTCTTTTTCTTCTGTTAAACCTAACAAACAGTAAATTTTATACTATTTATTTTATAATAGTATAATTTCATTTTATAAGAATATTTATGTTTATCTTATCTATGCATAGAAAAAAGTCTGTGGTGATGTTCATCTGTATTAATGAAGGCTATTTTGGGTGATAGAGTTTGGAATAACTTTTAAATGTTTAAAAAAATTTTTTTAGTGTTTGAATTATTTATAATGTTCATTCATGATTTTCCAGTGGTAATTTTTCTTTAAAAAGGACTGGAAACAAGCTAGGGATGGTGGCACATGCCTGTGATCCCAGGACTCTGGAGGTTGAGGCAGGAGGATCACAAGTTTTAGCACAGCCTGGGCTTCATAGCAACTTAGTGAGACCCTGCCTCAAAAAACAGTATAGCTCAGTGTAAAGGCCCTGGGTTCAAGGTTTTGTACCATCAAAAGAAAGACAGACAGACAGACTGGAAACAAATAGACTATGATATTAACAAGTTAATTCTATTATGAATTGATTCCCCTTTTGTTTCTTTTCAAATTTGTTTCTGAAAACAAATTGACTGTTTCTCAGGTGAAGAGCACAAGAGAGCTGAGCAGACAACATTAATATGTCTGTATCACTCAGTGACCAGGCATAACCACAGGACTCAGGCTTCTTCAGGGGAAGCAAGCCTTTGGCTGTCCTCTATCTTGGTACTCAGTCACAGCTGCTATTGGTTGGCTCGAGGATGCGACCTGAAGTATCTTGGGGTTAAAGTAAAGGTATATGAGAGTGCTTATTCCAGGAGAGCTCAGTACTCTCCAAACAGGAGGCAGGCGCCTCTGCCTAGTTCCGGCTCCTATGTGAGAATCCCTGGAGCCAAGAAGAGGCACAAAGAAAGCCTTTTCTACTTCACATGCATATCTTTTTACAGTTCATAAATGATGTTACATGAACCAGAAACCGTGACCTTTGGGATTGTTTGCATTTGAACATTTCAGGGTACAAGTCAGAGACAGAGAAATCAAAGTTAACATCTTTGATATGGCCGGACATCCCTTCTTCTATGAGGTAAGAAAGCCTTTTTGAGAAAACCTATATCCAGTCTTGTCAGTGGGTTTTGGGGAAAGATTCTGAGTTGAAGGCGCTGATATTCGGATCATGTAAAATTAGGTACACTTAGCTCATGTTTATGGCTTGCCTTGGGTCTTTTTTTTTTTTTTTTGTCCAGTATTGGGGATGGAACGAAGGACCTTGGGCTTTTGAGGCAGGCCCAGCCCTTGCCTTGGACCTTAATAGGTACGTGGTGATCTTTTATGCTGCCCCTCTAAATAGGGGTATGAAATTTAATTGCTAATGTTTCAAACACTCAGATAAGTAAGACATTTCAACCTCCAAAGAACGTCTACTTTTTACCTAATACCTCAGCCCAGAATTTGAGGAGATGATTACCTTCACACTTGGACTTGAGGACACAGTGGGGTCACATCTGTGACAGGAGAGTCTAGCGTGTTCTTTCCCATCACTCCTCATCCTGTACTTCTTTTCCGGAAGGAACCAAGCAGGCCCGCTGGCTGTGTGAATCTGTATCAACAGTCTACTCTTTCCATTTCCTCCTCTCCCTCCTGGCTCCGAATCTTTTGTGTTATCCCAGTAGGTCCTGTGGCTCCATTCACTGTTTAAATTTTTTTCTCTCTCTAATTTAGTTTGGGTAATTTCTATTGTTCCACCTTCTGGTTTATTAATTTTCCCCCTCCGTTTGGCTGCTGGCCCTACCCTAAGCTTTTTACTCCATTATATTTTTCACTGCTAAAATTTTTACTCAGTCTTTACTAAGTGGGTAGGGGTTGTAAGTCAGTTTTCTCTAAAATGTTTGGCTGGAGTAGAGTAGAGTAAATTTTCTGAAATTAAAAAAAAAAAAATCTTTCTAAACCTCCCCTTTCCCGGCCATCTGTCTGGGGAGATCAGATTTTTTTTTCCCCCAGTACTGGGGATTGAATTTAGGACCTTTTGCTTTCGAGGCAGGCGCGGCACCACTGAGCTAAATCCCTGGCCCTGTTTATTGTTTTTTGAGCCAGGGTCTCTCTTTGTAGTTCAGGCTGGCCCTGAACTCACTGTGTAGCCCAGGCTGGCCTCGAACTTGTGGCAGTCCTCCTGGCTCAGCCTCCCGAGTGCTGGGATTATAGCATTTGCCACTGCGCCTGGCATGAGATCAGATTTTTGATGGTGCTTTAATGTGTCTGCAGTTCCTGACGGTTTTGAGTTATACTTCTGCTCCAAGTCTGCAGTGTTTGAGGCAAAGGAAGACCCAGAGCCTCCCCCCCATTGTCAGCCCTTGGGTCCCGGGGCCCAGCCTGGCTGCTGCCACCTCTCCACCTTTCAGAGGCTTGACCATGAGTACTGTACGCACAAGGTCAGGATCTTTACCTGTGTCTCAGCTGTGTTTATACCTCGAATAAATATATGCTTCATATATAATGTCTAAGGTTTTTACTTTTACTTGTATAAATACTTTATATGTAATAGCCAGGGTTTGCCTGTAATAGGGACATCTATATCCGTCCCGTGTTTGGGGGGTGCTCTTGGTAACTACCTGATCTCCATCTTGTGAATATGCCCAAGTATTCAGGCGAAGTGAACCGCGTTTTAGTGTGAAGCCTTACAGTGGGCTAAGTCAGTTACAGGTATAGAATATCATCAGTGACGGGGCTCTAGTTGACCACGAGTTTGACAGAGATTCTAACTACCGGAAATGCCAATGTAAGTCTTAGATGACTGGACTGAGGATGTAGCTCAGTGGTAGGGCACATGGCTTGCATGTATAAGGTCAGCACTGAGCCAAAAAAGAGAAAAGAACACAAACCCTGAGACTATAGCAAGCTCCTGTGAGTGGAGAGTTAGACGATGCCTGGGCTTTAGTGTGGCTCGCAGCTGTGCCCACCCTGGGGCTTCTTTGCGCAGTGTTCTTCCCGATCAGTGGTCCTCATTCCATCCCAGGTACTTACATGCCAGGGTCCGTGCTGGACACTGGGACATGCTGTCCCTCATTGTCACGGAGTGTAACATGCGGGAGAAGACATGGATTAAACAGATGAGCACTGGGGCTGGGGATTTAGCTCAGTGGCTCTGCTGCCTGCCTTGCAAGCGCAAGGTCCCGGGTTTGATCCCTGGTACCAAGAAAAGAAAACCCCCCAAAAACAGATGAGCACTTAAGACCCTGACCCAGCCTATTCCAGAGGCCAGGAAGTCCTGCTGCGGGACACAGGGCTGATGGATACTTAAGCTGTGTAGCTGGGACTCCAGGACAGAATAACACCCCACGCAGTCTGAGTGGGGAGGATGTGGAGTCAGGAGTGGACACCTCTGGGGCCGGGTCTCGCTGCTTCTCGAGCTGGTCCTGCCCAGAGCTAAAGCGCCCGGCCAGCATCTTCCCCTTCAAAGCTGCTCTCCATGACTTGCACCATGATTCTGGCTGAGGTTTGGGGGACGGGGACTGGATCTGTTTCTGCAACAGCCTTTCGAGGTTTAGCCTGCCTCTCCTCGGGGAAAGCATCTGCCTTCCGGCCACAGCCCCCCGCCCCCGGGGTCCCCATCACGTCCTCTGTAGATGCCCCTCATTGCTGCTGTGGAGCTGAGAACTAATCAGCGTCCCAGGTTTGTCTAACTAGTGAGACACTCTCCGTGTTCCTGCTGCTGTCTGTCATTAGACACCAGGCTCTTATTATTGCAGCCTAAGATGGTAATGGCTTGTTTTTTCCAGCAATTTAGGAAGATAGGAGTGTGATCAACAGAAGCACCTTGAAATCACCACTTCTAGAGCGTCTTTTCACTGAAATAGCCTTGCTCTCTCTTTCTTCTCATACTTACTGTTTGTGTCTTAAACCCTCCTTTTATTTGTTTGTTTGTTTTTTGACACAGAGTGTCACTCTGTAACCTAGGCTGATTTTAAACTTGTGATCCTCCCGGCTCAGCCTCCTGCGTGCTGAGATTACAGGTGTGGATCATTTAAACCTTCCCTGTTGACAAAACCAAAGCCATAATCATCTTTATAAGTGCCACGCTGACCAGATTATACCCTTGCTCAGCACAAAACTAGTGAAACACAGCCATCCCATGATTCCTGGCTTCCTTGGACTGTGTGCCTGTCCTCCATTGAAGCATCCATTGCCACCAGTCCTCTAGACAGATTTCCTGAAGGATCTTCTGGGACAGGACAGTCTGTCTGCTGTGTGAGATGGCAGCCTCAGAGCAGGCAGTGGGAGAACCTTGGGGAGTGGGGTGGGGCCGGTCTCGGACCCCAGCCTTGCTTCATGGAGCACTCAACTGAGGTCTCACAGGGACCTTCTAAGGCCCCGGTGATGTTAAAATAACAGCTTCCTTAGCCGTAATGCCAGCTCGATTCCAGGTCTGCTTTAAGGAACAATCCCCATTCCTTTAGCATCCTGTCTTGTTAAACCGTGAACACATTGAGACTGCCAGGACTAACAGGAGGAGCTCTTTGGGAAACTAGAATAATGAAACCGAAGGGAAACGTCGAAACATCTGCTTTGTCTTTTCATTTTACAGATGAGGAAAGCAGGGTTGGTGTTAATAAAATAACTTACTCAAAACTGCGTAGGTGCTTCTTTGCCGAGCTCAGGTTTGAACTTGCATCCTTGAAAGAAATTCACTGAGCTTGCATCAGTCCACTTTTATGTACACACCTGTCACTGGAGAGCATGATCTGTATTTAGAATTTACCCCCTTTGGCTACTATTTTTTGTTCTCCCCTGAGACCCTTGCAGCCATTCAGTTATATAGAGTCTCAAACATTTACATCTACCAGGCTCATGGGTGACCCAAGCACGAATGCACTGAGACAGGCCTTCATGTTACCTGCAGCCTCATGGGAAGACAGCTGGATGTGCCACTGGCCGTGAGAAACCAGAAGTGGCAGACAATTAGAAGTGCACATGGCTGTAGTGTCCTAGGGGACACAGACATTACTTGTGTTCATGGGTCAGATGGTGAGGCACTGGGCAGAGAAACCTACATGCACGATTCAGCAGTATACTGAGATCTTGCCAGTTTAAAGATACAGAGGGTCTCTTTCCAGGTGGAGCTCGCAAGGCGTAGGGCAGGTGAAGGGAAAGAGATTATCCAGTTTAAAGGCCAGAGGAGAGTAAAGGGGTAAGACTGAGAAGGTTGGTGGAGGATTTATCAAAACTTTTAACTTGGGGGCTGGGGATTTACCGCAGTGGATCCACTGCCTGCCCTGCAAGCACAAGGACGCGAGTTTGATCTCTGGTACCAAAAAAAAAAACCTTTTAACTTTGAACTTTGGAGAGTTGGCAGTGGAGAAACACTACGGAAATTATGAACCAGGTGTTTAAAAAAATAAATATACACAATGTATTGTCCTGCTGGGAAGACGGCTTAGCAGACTCTTGCAATAGTGTGGTCAGGAGACAGTGTTGAACATGAGACTGGAAGGAAGTGACAGATGAGGATCATGGCACAGGTAGCTTCTACAGGTTTGTCTGAATCTGGTAACAGAGAGAAGAGAGAAGGAAAAGTTGACACCACACGTTCAACCTGAATGACCAGGGAATGATGTGTTGCATTCATTCCTGATGTCCAAGAGTTTGGAAGGAAGGAGTTGAAGGGTTTCTGTTGTACATATGAAGTTGAGATTCCAACAGGGCATTAAGCTGCCAGTCTGGTACTGACCGGAAAGGGAGGTTAGGTCCGGATTCTCTGATGAGAAGACTCATCTTGGAGATTCTCAAAATCCAGGCTGTGCAAGGTGAAGTAAGTAGCATCATCCCCATTTTACAGATGAGGAAACTGAGATGCAGAGAGGTTAAGTGACTTGCCCAAGATCACACGACTAGTAAGTAAGTGTGGACCCGGACCCTTCTGCCTCCAGAGGCCACGCTCCCACCTGAGGCTCCTGGTGTGGCATTCTCAGTGGGTGCCCAGACCCAGCAGTCAGGGAGGCTCTGCCTGGCACCCGGGGAAGCCAGCACTGGGCGGTGATGTATAAGTGGCTGTTCCCATCCTGATTCTTGCATCTGTTTTGCTATAAGTTCTTTAAAATTACTCACTCACCTCCCTAAGAAGAACTTTACACAATTGGTGCTCTTTTAAGGAGTACTAACAAGTAAAGAGTGATTGCCTCGAGAAGTGAACGGGGGTGGGGTAAGGGGCCTTCTTTATAAATAGATTTTAAGTCTTTCTATAAAAATAGACATTTTTTATTATGTTACCTTGATTTCATAAACAGTCCTCTTAAAAACCAGTAAAATATTGAGATACATCAAGTACTGTGAATTCATAAAAGAATGCACTTTGCTAAGTTGGTGATTGTAAGGTACATTCTTGTCAAATCACATAACCTACATGTGTGCTTCCATCTGAAGGTTCGAAATGAGTTCTACAAGGACACCCAGGGTGTGATCCTGGTCTACGACGTGGGGCAGAAGGAGTCCTTTGACGCCCTGGATGCGTGGCTGGCAGAAATGAAGCAGGAGCTCGGGCCTCATGCAAACATGGACAACATTATATTTGTGGTGTGTGCCAACAAGGTAATTGCTTCGGAATTGGCATGCTCGCCTTTCTATTTGGAAGCACCAGTAAAGTAGTGGGGGAAGCAATAAAAAAGAAAAGAAAATTCTTTATTCCTTAGCATAGGAATCCATACCCTTTCAAAGCATATACCTCTGAGATACGAAACACATTGAGACCCAGACCTGGGGTATCAGGGTCTGTATCCGTTCTTGTTTCTGTGCCCTGCTCGGGGAGGCACGCTGGTGGCTGATCGGCAGGGCCTGGCCCCAGGAGGAGGCCGTCCATGGCTGGGCTGTGGCTGTGGAGAGCAGAGTGTGGCCCCTGGCTGTGGCTGGGATTGGGAAGCAGCTGCTTGCTGAGGGAGAAAGTGGGAAATGTGCCCGAAAATCAGATAGAAGAGCAGTCTATATCCAGTTCTTAATTTTTTATTTGTTTGGTCTCTTTTGGTCCTGGTAATTTTATATTTAGTGCTGGGACTCGTTAAAAATAGTTTTTGGGCTTGGGAAAATAGCTCAGTGGTAAAACTCTTGTCTAGCATGTGTGAGGCCCTGGGTTCCATACCAGGCACTGCAAAAATAAATAAATAAATAAATAAATAAATAAAATAAAAATATTTTTTGTTTCAAGCAAGCACTGACAAAGTGCTTACTCGGCTTGTTCTAGTGAGACAAGGTTGGAATTTTCTCTCCCCCACCCGCAGATCGACTGCACCAAGCACCGCTGTGTGGATGAAAGTGAAGGCCGGTTCTGGGCAGAGAGCAAAGGCTTCCTCTACTTTGAGACTTCAGCCCAGACTGGAGAAGGAATCAATGAGATGTTCCAGGTAACCTCACATTTTTTTGCTTTAGGGTTTGTCTCTTGTGTCAAGGCCAGCCATGCCAAATATTTAGTTTAAATTAGGAGAAGCAAAAAAAATCAATAGGAATTTTTCATTAGCATAAGTACTTTCTAGCTGGTCATGGTGGTACACACCTGTGATCCCAGGCCTCAGGAGGCTGAGGCAGGAAGATCGCTGAGAGTTTGAGGCCAGCCTGGGCTACATAGTGAGACTCTGTCTTAAAAAAAAAAAAA